ACACAGCTATGATCAGCCAGCATGGAGCTTTTATAACACTACCTGCTGAATCAACATGTTCCTCTTTGGTACATTATTGACTGATCAATCAGATAACTTTTTTTTAATTTAAATCAGGTAACCTTCAATCTCTCTCTGTCTCTCTGTCTATCTCTGTCTGTCTGTCTCTCTCTCTAGTAGACTTTGTCCTTTTGATAGAGAAAAATAAGATCTTCTTTACCTTTGTCCTTCTTTACAGGATACCCATTTGAATTTCTGGTTTAATGGTACTGATTGGTGTCCAACTATTGCTAATAAAAAATAAACAAACATATTTATAATGTGCAACTATTCTTTACAATCAATAGATTAATTTTGAGATGGAAGAATCTCCTCAAACTTTACATGCTCAGGTTAGTGACCAACTAGAAATTTATGACTTATTGATAGTTTCTATATTCTATAAAATACATTTATTTTTTTGACAAAATCTTACTATGTAGCTTAGATTTACCTCAAACTGACAATTCTTCTAAATTGACACAATATCTAGAAATATATTTGTGTATCACCATGGTCATGCATATTTAAAATATTTATTTGCTATATTAAACATTTGGACATATTTTGCTCAACAATGTAAGTTTTATAGCTCATTATTTCACTCTTTGGCATTTATAAAACTGAGATAACAAAACAAACCTATCAGTCACACATCTTGAATCAGAAGATACATATTAAGCTTTTAGCTAAAGAAAGTTGTTTCTTTTTCAGTGTTATGTAGTTCAACCATGAAAGACCTTTTTAAAGGTAATGGGACGGAAGGAATTGTCAGTGTCTCACAGCTCATAGTTGGAAGAATTTAGAAATCAGAGTGACTATCTAATGGACTTACTCCCCTGGCTTTACCACAGATTCTTAGAGAAAAGTATTATATTCTCCTTGTCCCACCAGTGCTGATGTAAAGAGAATAAGCAAAATAGTCCATAGAGACAGTAACAATAATTTTTATGACTTAAACCTCCACAAACAGCACCATCAAGTGGGTACTAAGTATTCAAATGCTTCAGCCTAAGGGGACATTTCTAATTTTCTTTGCATTTTGGCCCCTTTCCTGAAAAAAAATCAGTTTAATGATATCCATCTCAATTTCTTGACTATGCACTGTGGCACTATGCTGATAGTAATCACTAACATTCACAGTAAACATGAATCTAGTTAATAATTATGTCATCGTTGTTTTAACATAGAAGTCAGAAAAGTTTGCTTGTTTTGTAATCTTGCTCAAAGATTAC